ACACAGACCAGACCAGGGTCCTCTCACACAGACCAGGGTCCTCTCACACAGACCAGACCAGGGTCCCTCTCACACAGACCGGACCAGGGTCCCTCTCACACAGACCAGACCAGGGTCCCTCTCACACAGACCAGACCAGGGATCCTCTCACACAGACCAGGGTCCCTCTCACACAGACCAGACCAGGGACCCTCTCACACAGACCAGACCAGGGTCCCTCTCACACAGACCAGAGTCCCTCTCACACAGACCAGACCAGGGTCCCTCTCACACAGACCAGACCAGGGTCCCTCTCACACAGACCAGAGTCACTTTCACACAGACCAGACCAGGGTCCTTCACACAGACCAGAGTCACTTTCACACAGACCAGACCAGGGTCCCTGTCACACAGACCAGAGTCTCTCTCACACAGACCAGACTAGACCAGGGTCCCTGTCACACAGACCAGACCAGGGTCCCTCTCACACAGGTCTTACTCCCCCAGCCTTATCCCCACACAGCACCCCAGGCCCCACTCACCCCCCACAGCCCTCGCCTGGTCTGCCGGCCGGAGCTGTCACTGGGAGACAAAGAGTGTATCTCGAGAGAGGCTGAGTTTTAGGACAAAGCTTTTTATTCTATAAATTGTGATACAATGGTTTAAAAATAAACAGCCCCCACCCTGGGCAATCCACAGCGTCTCGCTGCTCTCTCCCCTTACACCCAGCTGAAGCACCAAGTCACGGGCCTGACCCTGAGTTGTCACAGTTAGCGCTGTGGGGAGGGGCGGGGAAGAGGGAGGGGGGAGGGCGTCAGGCCGGACGAGTCAGAGTAACAAACTCTCTCTTTTACCCAAAGGATGAAATAAAACTGGCCATTTTCCTCAGGGTCCGTTTCCCCTCCTGGGTAAAGTGTCCACATTTTGGGAGATTCTCATAAAGAGGGCAACAAAATAATCAACTGACAATAGTTCAAGCATTCAAACCAACCTCATTCCATAGGCCACTAACCCCAACCCTACTCCATTGCCCCTTCACCCCAAACCCCACTGACCCCAACCACCTTGACCCCAATTCCACTAACCCTCAACCCACTCACCCCAACCCGAATGACCCCAACCCCACTGACACCCCAATCCGATGACCCCAAACCCCCCACTGCCCCAATCCCATTCCCCCAACCCCACTGACCCCCCAACCGCTGGCCCATCCTATTCCTCCCCACCCGACCCAAATTGCTCCAACTCCAACCAGATGAACCTCAACGTAACCCAGCTTCGCCTCCACTTAATGCCTCGAAACTTGGGTGATCCAACCCCACCCCGATGGACAATCAACCCAAAGCCACTCCAGACCCCTCCCCCCCCCAAACCCCCCTCACCCCCCACGCCCTCCCCCCCTCCCTGCCACCACCCCTTGTGGACACAGACATGGTGAGAGGGCGAGCAGTGCTGGGACCCAGAGGCCAGTAGCCTTCAGTTAAGATTGTGGATCAGGAGCTGTCACAAAGCTCTGAATAGGGAACATCACAGCGCGAGCCCCCAGCAGAGGCAGAGAGCGAGAGAGAGAGAGAGGCCTGGGGTAACTACTGCGATGGCCTGGGGGAGCCAGTGGCCCCCTGCGCCCCATCACTCTTCACGGCCTGTGGGCTGTCACTGGGCTCCTGCTTTACAGCCGAGACAGCTCCCGGGACAGTGTGTTGCTGCAGGGATTTGGGGCCGTGGGCTTTGCTGTCAGTGGCTGGCGGGAGGGAAACCACAATGTACTTGTGAATGTTACTGCTGGGCGCAGGCTGAGAGGCGCTGACCAGTTTAACTAATGGTTGAATACTCGGCACAGTGGTCGTGACCGGTGACGTGGTGGCAGTCCCACATGGTGTAGTACTCAGAGTTATTACCTAAAAAAAATAAAATAAAACAAATTGGGTTTCATTTGGGGTTGAAATCACCTGGCCCTCCCCTCTCTCTCTCTCAGCAAGACATCACACATACACACACAGAAACCACACATACAAACACCACACACACACAAGATACCCCACACGCAAGACACCCCACACACGCACATACACAAAAGACACCACACACACGCCACACAGCATACACCACACGTACAGACAGATACCCTCATCAATCTCCACACACCAGTAGAGACGGAGGGCAGCAAAGTTGCAGGTTCCTCCAGAGACAAGGCTGTGGGCAGGGGGGTGCTGATTGTGGTGTTAGTGGGTGGTGGGGGGGGCGGTCACTGTGTAACTACGTGTCTCCCCCACCCTCTGCCTTCCTCCCTCTCGGAGCTGCCAGACTTGTGAAACACACTCACAGCTTTGATTGAATGTCAGGCTCAATCGCCAGAGGCGAGAACCCAACCATCAACACAGGAGCAGACAGCAGCATCTCCTTACGTCATTGAAGAAGTGTTTTGGGACGTCCTCCTGACGTGAAAGGCACTATACAAATATAACCTGTTGTTGTTATTGTTGTGCTACAGACCAGAAACTTGTCTGCCACAGTGAGGTGTAAGGTGCTGAAGGTGAGGGAGCTTTTCTTACCTGCTGGCTGCTGGAGCTGGAGGCTGAGGACATGACGATGAATTTGGTGGCAGAGGCTGAGGGCTGAGTGGGAGTTGAGGGACGGGCAGAGACCAGGGTCTGCATGGGCAGCGCCAACGAACTGGGCACCTTGATAATACTGGGCGTCCGCGACGACTGCTGAGCCTGGGAGATGGTTAAGGTCGGGCGAGGCTACAGACGGAGAGAGAAGGAACTGGATTCAAACACAAGAGCTCAACTGTAATAACACATGAGGTGTCACTACAGGCGTTGACTTAACCAGAGCAGGAAGGACTTGTGGTGTTGTGGTATCTCAGTGAGGGCAGCCCAGTGTGTCTCTCTCTCTCTATATATATAGAGAGGGCAGCCCATTGTGTGTGTGTCTCTCTCTCTCTCTATATATAGTGAGGGCAGCCCAGTGTGTGTGTGTGTCTCTCTCTCTCTCTCTAGCGAGGGCAGCCCAGTGTGTGTGTCTCTCCCTCTCTCTCTCTAGTGAGGGCAGCCCAGTGTGTGTGTGTCTCTCTCTCTCTCTCTCTCTCTAGTGAGGGCAGCCCAGTGTGTCTCTCTCTCTCTATATATATAGTGAGGGCAGCCCATTGTGTGTGTGTGTGTCTCTCTCTCTCTCTTTAGTGAGGGCAGCCCAGTGTGTCTCTCTCTCTCTAATGAGGGCAGCCCAGTGTGTGTGTGTCTCTCTCTCTCTAGTGAGGGCAGCCCAGTGTGTGTGTCTCTCTCTCTCTCTCTAGTGAGGGCAGCCCAGTGTGTGTGTGTCTCTCTCTCTCTCTCTCTCTAGTGAGGGCATCCCAGTGTGTCTCTCTCTCTCTCTAGTGAGGGCAGCCCAGTATGTGTGTGTGTCTCTCTCTCTCTCTCTCTAGTGAGGGCATCCCAGTGTGAGTCTCTCTCTCTCTCTCCTCTAGTGAGGGCAGCCCAGTGTGTGTGTCTCTCTCTCTCTAGTGAGGGCATCCCAGTGTGTGTCTCTCGCTCTCTCTCTAGTGAGGGCAGCCCAGTGTGTGTGTCTCTCGCTCTCTCTCTAGTGAGGGCATCCCAGTGTGTGTCTCTCTCTCTCTCTCTATAGTGAGGGCAGCTCAGTGGTGGGGGTGGGCATGGGTGATGGTTACGGTGGGGCGGGGAGGCTGATATACCTATGTGATGGTCGGGGGGTGGGTTAGGGGTGAGTACTGTGTGATGGTCGGGGGTGAGGTGGGGGGTGAGTACCTGTGTGATGGTCGGGGGGTGAGGTGGGGGTGAGTGAGTACTGTGCAATGGTCGGGGGGGTGGGGTGGGAGGTGAGTGAGTACTGTGTGATGGTTGGGGGGGTGGGGTGAGAAGGGAATACGATGTGATGGTCGGGGGGTGGAGTGGGTGGTACCTGTGTGATGGTTGGGGGTGGGGTGGGTGGGACCTGTGTGATGGTCGGGGGGTGGGGTGGGTGGGACCTGTGTGATGGTCGGGGGGTGGGTGGACCTGTGTGATGGTCGGTGGGTGGGGTGGGTGGTACCTGTTAGATGGTCGGGGGGTACCTGTGTGATGGTCGGGGGGTGGGGTGGGGGGTACCTGTGTGATGGTCAGGGTGGTCCGGTTGACTTGCTGAGCCTGCATGGCAGCCTGGGCTCTGGCCTTGACCACGTGTGTGCACAGCATGGGCCCCAAGTAACCGTAATCTGATTTGTAGGCCTCCTGGTTGTCGGGCTGGGGGCGAATCTTTGCCACCACAGGAGCGCAGTGTTTCTGGGGAGACAGACAGGAACGCTGAGGGGGGGCTGACCCGCTTCCATCGAAGAAATAAAGAACTGGCGTTTTAATAACAGTCAATAATCCTCGCATTTGACACAGAGCCTAATCACGTCTTTGAGACGTCGCAAAGTATATTAAGGGATTAACCGGAGTGAGGGCGGGGTAACTGAACTTGAGGTACAGATCAGTCATGATCTTATAGAACGAAGGAACAGGCTGGAGGAGCTGAATGGCCTCCTCCTGTTCCTTGACAGCACACAGAGCACTGAAACCATCGAATCCGAGTTATGTGGCTCAGTTTGGCTCTTGTGATACACATTTGTGTGGTATTACCAGGCACCAGCCCCTACCAACGCACCCCCACACACCAGCAGCTCTCTCCCCCCTCCGCCACACATACACCAGCCGCTCTCTTGCCTCTCCCACCCCCAGGAACTCTCTCCCACCACCTACCCCCACATACCAGGCCCCTCCCCCCATACACACCACCCGCAGCTCTCTCCCCACATACCAGCAATAAGCTCTGTACGTGATCAGCTCCGATTTTATCAATGTTGCTGAGGACCGGCCCCTCCAGCACACTGCGGATCCTCTCGCCCTCAATCTGCAGTCTCTGGATGATCAGCGTCTTAATCACCTGTTATACACACACATTAGCGCACGCACAGATCGATGCACACACAAATCGACGCACACACGAACGCGTACTCATTCGAACACACAAAAATTAGCACACACATCAACACATAGGTTATCACACATTAGGAAGGATGTCAGGGCATTGGAGAGGATGCAGAGGAGATTGACCAGGAAGGTATCAGGAATGAGGGACTTCAGTTATCAGGAGAGGCGAGAGAAGCTCGGATTATTCTCCTGGGAGCAGAGAAGGTTAAGAGGAGACTTAATAGAAGTTTTCAAAATAATGAGGGGATTCAACAGGGTGAACAAGGAGAAACTATTCCCACCGGCGGGTGGGTCGGTAACCCGAGGACACCGGTTTAAAATAGTTGTCAAAAGAAACAGAGGGGAGGTGAGGAGAAATGTTTTCACACAGCGAGCTGTTGGGATCTGGAATGAGTGAGCTACATCTGGAGTGAGGCGAGGCCAGAGTGAGAAGGAATTGGGTGAGAGTGGGAATTAGGTGCAGAGGGGGAAGTATATCTTCTAAACAACTATAATACAAGAATAAATAGTGAGAGGAGGGAATGACCTGGCAGGTGATGTGTGAGGAATGTGGTATGCGGGAGTTGATGGAGGACAACCTGAGCCCCGGTGACTTCATCTGCAGCAAATGTCTGCAACTGAGGAAGCTCCAGCTCAGAATAGCTGAGCTGGAGTCTCAGGTGGAGACACTGTGCAGCATTAGAGATGGGGAGGGCTTCCTGGACAGTTTCATCCTGGAGCCAGACACTCCCATGAGTCCCAGGGATCATTCCGTTGCCAGCCATGGACAGGACTGGGTGACGGTCAGACAGGCGCGTAAGGGGACCCGAAAGAGAGGGGCAGAGGAACCCCAGGTTTTAACCTTGTCCAACAGGTATGAAATACTCACAACCTGTGTGGACAAGGAAGTTTGTGAGGAAGATGGCCAAACTTACCCCAACACCTCTATACAGGAGGCCACACAAAGGGGAATAGTCAGAAGGAATATAGTGGTGATTCGGGATGAGACAGTCAGGAAGACTGACACACTTTTCTGCAAGGAGACAAGACGACTCTGTTGCCTTCCTGGGGCCAGGGTGAAGGACGTCACTTCTGGGCTCGAGAAAAAGGATCAGTGTTTGGGCCTCAGCTATTTACAATTTACATCAATGACCTGGACAAGGACATTGAATGTAACGTATCTAAATTCACGGATGACACTAAACTCGGTGGGAGAGTGAGCTCTGAGGATGATGCAAAAAGATTGTAATGGGATATAGATAGTCGAGGGGAGTAGGCGAGTCGGTGGCAGATGGAATTTAATGTGGGGAAGTGTGAAGTTATTCACCTCAGTGGCAAAAATAGAAAAACAAATTATTTTCTAGAGGGGGAGAGATTAGATAGTATTAGTGTTCAGAGGGATTGGGGTGTCCTTGTACACCAGTCCCAAAAAGTTAGTTTGCAGTGCAGCAGCAACTAAGAAGGCGAACGGCAGTTAGCGTTCATTGCAAAAGGTTTAGAGTACAAGAGAGGGAAGTCTCACTGCAACTGTATAGGGCTTTGGTGAGACCGCACCGAGAGTATTGTGTGCAGTTTTGGTCCTTATTTAAAAAAGGACATATTTGCCCTCGAGGGGGTGCAGTGTAGATTCACTCAGTTAGTTCCTGGGATGAGGGAACTGACCTATGAGGATAGGCTGAATAAACGAGGGCTGTATTCTCCAGAGTACAGAAGAATTAGGGGAGATCTTATTGAAACATATAAGATCCTTAAAGGGCTGATAAAGTAGTCACTGAGGGTCTGTTTCCCCCAATAGGAGAATCTATAACCGGGGTCACAGCCTGAAAATTGAGGGTCAGCCTTTTAGAACAGAGTTGAGGAAACATTTCTTCACTCAGAGGGCAGTGAGTGTATGGAATTCACTCCCCAGAAGGGCTGTAGATGTCAGTCCTTGAACAGCTTCAAGGCTGAGACTGAGAGATTTTTAAAAAACAGAGGGATTGGGGGATATGGGGATAGGGCAGGTAATTAGAGTTCGGTCAGAAGATCATCCATGATCTTATCGAATGGCGGGGCAGTTCGAGGGGCCGAATGGCCGACTCCTGCTCCTAATTCTTATATTCTTATGGAATGCGTTGCCTGAAAGGCTGGTGGAAACCGATTCGATAACAGCTTTTAAGAGAGAAGCAGATAATTATTTAGGGAGGAAAAGTTTGCAGGGCTATGGGGAGAGAGCGTGGGAGTGGGGTTGATCAGGGCTATGGGGAGGGAGTGGGGCTGATCAGGGCTATGGGGGAGAGCGGGGAAGTGGGGTTGATCAGGGCTGTGGGGAGAGTGTGGGGGAGTGGGGTTGGTCAGGGCTGTGGGGAGAGTGTGGGGGAGTGCGGCTGATCAGGGCTATGGGGGAGAGCGGGGAAGTGGGGTTGATCAGGGCTGTGGGAGAGTGTGGGGGAGTGGGGTTGATTTGGAAACTCTTTTCAAATAGTCGGCACAGACACGATGGGCCAAATGGCCTCTTTCTGTGCTGTATAATCCTATGATTCTTCTATGATTAACACACATTAACACACAGATACACTAACACGGGTGTAACAGGTGTAATACATGGAGAGATGGGGAAGAGGAAGAGGGATGGAGAAAAGGAGAGAGTCAGGAGTGGGAGGGAGGTCCACATCACTTACGTCATGTCCCAGCTCAGCCAGTCCTGCGATGCAGCCATAACGTGTTGTCCAGGGAGTCTTGTCATCCAGCCAGCTCTGAGAGAGAGAGAGAGAGAGAGAGAGAGAGTGAAGAGAAGAGAGAGAGAGAGTGAAGAGGAGGGAGAGAGAGTGAGAGGAGCAAGTAGAGGGGCAGAGAGAGGAAAGGGGGGCATAGCACCACAAATGGGGGCGAGGGGCGACTCGCTGGGAGCGGGGGGGCTCACCGGGGCGTTCGCTGTGGGCGGGGGGTCGCTGGGGGCAGGGGTCGCTGGTCGCTGGGATCGCTGGGGTTGGGGTCGCTGGGTGGGGGTCGCTGGGGTTGGGGTCGCTGGGTCGCTGGGGGCGGGGGTCGCTGGGGGGGGTCGCTGGGGTCGGGGTCGCTGGGGGTGGGGGTCGCTGGGGGTGGGGATCGCTGGGGGTGGGGGTCGCTCTGGCGGGGGAGTGGGGGGTGGGTGTACCTTGGTGAAGGTCTTGGTGATGCGGGACTGGATGTTGTTGGTGGTGGTGCTGAAGTTCTTGCAGATCTGAGCCATCAGACGGGCAGCGAAGTCCCTCAGTGCCCAGTGATTGTCCACGTCCGGCCTGAGGCACAGCTGCCGACTCACAATACAGGTCACCACTGCGGGGATCAGCTCGTGTAGCTGGGGAGGGAGGGGTTAAACAGCTCCGTCACCCCCCAGACAGGCAGACAGACAGACAGAAGACAAGACAGCCACCCATACACAGGCCTCGGCTGAAGCTCACTCACGGGCACACAAGTTGCACACACACACACACACGCGCACTCACACTGATCCACTGAGCACCACCTGACAGCCACTGAGCTGGAACTGGGGAACAGCTCACCCCCCCACCCCCAGCCCAGCACCCCCCCCCCCACCCCCCACCCCCAGCCCAGCACCCCCCACCCCCAGCCCAGCACCCCCCCACCCCCAGCGAACTCCCACCCCCAGCCCAGCCCCGACCAACAGCCCGACCCCTCCCCACCCACAGCCCTGCCCCCCCCACCAGCCCAGCCCGGCAGTTAGTTGGATGATAAGCAGGTTGGAGGGATACAGAGGTGCCGAGGGCATGAAGGGATCTGAAAACGAGACCGAGGATCTTCAAATTGATCTCAAGCCGAGCCTAGAGCTCACAGACCGGCCCATCAGCAGGGACTGGAAGGGCCGACCAGTCACTGGGGGTCAGGGAATCCTCCCCCTCAGCTCCTGGTAACCCCACAGCCAAAGCCCCAACTAACTAACGGGGAGGGGGGTCCTCGCTGGACAAGCAGCGGGAAAGCTCGGCCACACAGCGCTCTCTCTCTCTCTCTGTCTCTCGATGGCTGAGCTGTGTGTGGGTTTAGTTGGTTAGACCCCAACAGTTACCCTTCAACACACACTCTGGGCTCCCCCCAAAGCCTTGGCTCTCGCCAACCTGCGCCTAATACTCTCTATGTAAGATTGTGTAAGCAGGAGGCGTCCCTCAGGGAGAGAGTGTGTAGGTGGAACTCTCTGTGGAGTGTGGAGACGATACACAGTGGAGAGGTCCTGCGGTGTGGTGTCGAGCTGACCAAGCTGGGCACAGGGGAGGGAGGGGAATTACTTACGTATTTCTCCAGGTAGAGTGTGGGGTTATCCATCAATGCCTTCACCATCCGCATCAGGTAGATCAGCAACGCCAGGTTATTCTGCACCACATTCACACGCACCTGAGACACAGCGAGAGACAGTGAAGGGAGGCAGGGAGGCGGGGAGCAGGGAGGCGGGGAGCAGGGAGGCGGGGAGCAGGGAGGCGGGGAGCAGGGAGCCGGGGAGGCAGGGAGGACGGAGGCAGGGAGCAGGGAGGCAGGGGGTAGGGGGAGGGAGCAGGGGGAGGGGGGAGGGGCAGGGAGGGAGGGGGCAGGGAGGGGGGGCAGGGGAGAGGGAGGTAGGGAGGAGCTCACACAGGACTCACCCCCTCTGATATGAAAGTGCTGAACCTGGGCAGCATCTGGTACAGCCCGGGATCAGCAGCGATGCTCTGTAGGGCTTCCTGAGGACACAGCGAACGAGGGTCAGTGTGCACTCAGCCCCTCCCCCTAACACAGCCCACCCCGACACCCCACAAACCCCTCCGCACTCAGCCCCTCCCCTAACACAGCCCACCCCGACACCCCACAAAACCCTCCGCACTCAGCCCCTCCCCCTAACACAGCCCACCCCGACACCCCACAAACCCCTCCGCACTCAGCCCCTCCCCCTAACACAGCCCACCCCGACACCCCACAAACCCCTCCGCACTCAGCCCCTCCCCCTAACACAGCCCACCCCGACACCCCACAAACCCCTCCGCACTCAGCCCCTCCCCCTAACACAGCCCACCCCGACACCCCACAAACCCCTCCGCACTCAGCCCCTCCCCCTAACACAGCCCACCCTGACACCCCACATCCCAAACACCGCTCCCTACACCCCAATCAGCCCCTCCCCCACATCCCAATCAGCCCCTCCCCCCACATCAAAATCAGCCCCTCCCCCTACACCCCAATCAGCCCCTCCCCTGCACCCCAATCAGCCCCTCCCCCTACACCCCAATCAGCCCCTCCCTGAACACAGAACCTCCCCAACACGTGACTCAGCCCCTCCCTGACACTCACAGCCACTCCCCCCCCCCGAGGTGCCCTCACCGCTCGCTTGGCCTCACAGGAGCCCACACAGGCCTCGGTGATCTCCTTGTAGTACAGCTGCTGCTCCACTGACAGCTCGTGGGTGGTCCTTGGCTTCAGCTTCAGGACCCCGCCCTCCAGCAGCGACTTCTTCTTTTCTTTCCCTGAGACACAGCATCGTCACACCCCAAACAATACAGCGCCCCTCGCCCGGGGGTGTCCCGGAGAGCTTCACCGTGGGGCAGCTCGACACTGAGCCGAGGGGAGTGGGGGGGTGACCGTCGGCGCGGTCAAATAGGAAGGTCTTCGTTCACGACCTAAAGATGGGGTAGGAAGGGGCAAGGCGGAGGGAGGGATAAAGGGTGAGAGTGACAAGAATTTCGGGGAGTAGTGGCTGATAGCGGGCCGCCAATGGTGGATCGGAGGGGACGAGGGGCGTGCAGAAGGCCGGAGCCAGTTGAGCGGAGGCAGTTAGTTGGATGATAAGCAGGTTGGAGGGATACAGAGGTGCCGAGGGCATGAAGGGATCTGAAAACGAGACCGAGGATCTTCAAATTGATCTCAAGCCGAGCCTAGAGCTCACAGCCCGGCCCATCAGCAGGGACTGGAAGGGCCGACCAGTCACTGGGGGTCAGGGAATCCTCCCCCTCAGCTCCTGGTAACCCCACAGCCAAAGCCCCAACTAACTAACTAACTAACGGGGAGGGGGGTCCTCGCTGGACAAGCAGCGGGAAAGCTCGGCCACACAGCGCTCTCTCTCTCTCTCTCTCTCTCTCTCTCGATGGCTGAGCTGTGTGTGGGTTTAGTTGGTTAGACCCCAACAGTTACCCCCCAACACACTCTGGGTTCCCCGCAAAGCCTTGGCTCTCGCCAACCTGCGCCTAATACTCTCCGGAATTAGGTAATCGGGGGGCGTCCCTCCAGGGAGAGAGAGAGAGGGAGAGAGTGCAGTCCATTCCCGCAATCTATCTTTGGGATTTCCAGGTGTAGGGAAAACGTGGAATTCTCAGCCCAGTTTGGTGACTCTTAAGCAACGATGACGGGTTTCCACGTGAGTCAATTCACCCACTGGGCAAAAATAAAAAATACACCAACACAGTGATGCCCTCTGACCTTTATCCACAGCTCCTGCTCCTTGCCCTTTGACCTTGGCTTGACCATCCTCCTCCTGTCCGGGTTTGATGACCTTCAGGGGCTCCGTAGACTCGAGTTTCTGCTGTTCTTTGGGAGCTGAATGTGGGCCAGAGAGAGCGTTCAGTAACCGCAGAACAACTGACAGCACCTCCACTCCCTTTACAGCCCCTTTACAGCAATAACAATAATAATCCTTGCATTTGATACAGCCCCTTATCACATCGTTGAGACGTCTCAAAGCGCTTCACAGTGCAGTGTAGTTACTGTATATTTTGTGGGCGAAACCACAGCAACCAATTGCGCACAGCAGTGTCCCACAAACAGTCATGGTTTGAGTCACTAAATTATTATTTCTTTTTATCACCATGACATGCTGAGTGCTCAGTCATTGTACCGAGACAGCAATGAAGGTCGTCGGAGGAATGTGGAGCAGAATTATCTGAGGAGTCATTGCTGGGTTCTTGCTTTTTAATTAATTAAAATTAAAAAAAGGTTCCTACTTACTGCTGAATAAACAGGCGTGTGTGTGGATAAGGCAACTTGCCCAACGTTTCGCCCTGATCTGCCCAGGAATCGAACCCGGGTCCTCTCGCTTGTGAGGCAAGTGCTCTCACCGTTGATCTGCAGGACTCCACGTGTGTGTATTTACTCACAGAAAAGCTTGTGTGTGTATGTACACAGAAGCGGGGACATACATGCACGTGACGACACAGGGAAAGGGAGGTAAACTCAAGACTAATCTGCGTAAACACTACTGCAGTGAGCGAGTAGTAAACATATGGAACAGGCTCCCTCGGGAGATACTGGAAGCAGAAAGTGGATTTTTTCAAAAGCAAATGAGATAGATTTCTGTTAGGAAATAATATCTGGGGCATACACAGGATATAGTTTGGGACACGCCACGGCAAGCCAGGATGGTGGAAGGCCAACTAGATGGACCTTGGTCTTCTTTCGCCAGCAAATTCTTATGTTTTTTTTATGAGCGTATGCACTATTTAATTGGTCTGGGATTCACACAGGAGCCCGACACAGTTCACACACCCACCCACACACACACCCACACACACACCCACACACCCACCCGCACACATCACCTGCAACCTTACCTGGCGGTGGGTTCTCTGGAATGGCGGGCTGCACTCCTTCAATGCTTAACCAATGGGCTGTAACAGATGACAGTTTTCTTTTGCAAACATTGCCATTTACACTGTACACCGCGCTCAGTGCCCGACCTCCCTGAGCTCCACTGCCCCCCTCCCACCGTCATTCCCATGGCTGGGATTCCCTGTGGGCCGCCCTGCTGTCCTGGGAGGATTGACGGTCCAGACTTGGTTTAAGGTCCCAACCAGTGTCTCCTTAAGTTTTCCCCACTGCGGATCCCTCCCCCACACGTATCCCCTAGCCTTCCCCCACCTTCATAACCCCCCCCCCCACCCCACTCCCGTGGTCTCCTCCCCTCACATCCGTGGTGCCTTCCCCCGTCTCCCTCCCCCCTCTCACCTTTCAGACAGACGTCGAGAGGCACCCGGGGGAGGGGGGTGTTGATGATGTCACTCAGGTCTACCTCTTTCTCCTCATAGAAGTAGAGCTCGCGGCCCCCCCCACTGGCATAGCGGAACGGGATAAACTCCTGCGCGTGGAACCCGTACAGCGGCTGCCAGACAGTGAGAGCGACACGTTAAACCCCAGCCCAGCCCAGCGAGGGAGAGCAGCCAGACCCCCACAGCACTGCCCTCTACATCTCCTTGTGAGCAATGTGAGAGGCACAGCATTTGATATCGCACCTTATCACGTCATCGAGAGTCTCGTAGCGCTTCACAGAACACATTGTAAAGCGTAGTGACTGTGTTCTTTGTGGGGAAACGCGGCAGCCGGTTTGTCAGGTTCTCCCACAAGTAGCTATGGATTGAGCATTATCTGGGGGGGGGGGGAATTGTTGGCCGAGAGAGAGAGAGAGAGAGAGAGAGAGAGAGAGAGAAAAACTCCCCTCTCTTTTGGAATAGCGTCACGGAAGACCTTTAACATCCACCTGAACAGGCAGACGGAGAATGAGGTTTAACGTCTCATCCAAAGGCCGGCCTCTCCGATGATGCAGAAACCCCAGCGAGGCTGCCTCAATTGATCCCCTTTCCCCCAACAAAGCCGGTGAGCTGGACTGCGGAGGGGGGGGGAGGTGATTACAAAGCGCTGTTCAGCACCTCCACATTTTTCAGTTTGAGAGCGTAGTCGATGTCCACTGTGCTCAGCCTTTTCCTCTTCCCGTGGTGCATAAACTTCAGGGCATCCTGCGGGCAAACAGCCTCATCAGCCTCCGCAAGAGCATCAAACACACAGCCAACATACACACAGCCCCCACCTCCACACGCAGCTAACATACACAGCCCCCGCCTCCACACACACAGCCCCCGCCTCCACACCAACACAGCTCAACATACACAGCCCCCGCCTCCACACACAGTCAACATACACCACTACACCAGCCCCCCCCACCTCCACACACACAGCCAACATACACACAGCCCCCACCTCCACACACACAGCCAACATACACAGCCCCCACCTCCACACACAGCCAACATACACAGCCCCCACCTCCACACACAGCCAACATACACACAGCCCCCACTTCCACACACACAGCCAACATACACAGCCCCCGCCTCCACACACAGCCATACACACAGCCCCACCTCCACACACAGCCAACAACACACAGCCCCCACCTCCACCACACAGCCAACATACACACAGCCCCCACCTCCCACCCACCACACCAACATACACACAGCCTCCCACCTCCACACACACAGCCAACATACACACAGCCCTCCACCCCCACCACACCACCACACAACATACCAGCCCCCACCTCCACACACACAGCCAACATACAACAACAACAAGATTCCATTTATAGAGCGCCTTTCACGTCGGGAGGACGTCCCAAAGCATTGGATAGTTGGGTCAGGACCCGAGTATTGGGGGGGAAATGGTCAGGGGGAGGGAGCAAGGAGGGGGGAGATGGTGAGGGTGAGGGGAGGGAAGGGAGGGGGCGAGGAGGGGGGTAGAGAGTCGAGAGCGGTGCTGAAGGCTGAAGGTCAAAGAGAAAGGCCTTGAGACCGCCTTGAAGGAGGAAAGGGAGGAAGCGTCGAAGGCACTGGGGATGGAGTTCCAGAGCCTCGGGGCTGAGAGGCTGAAGGCCACCGATGGTCGGGCGGTTGGGGCGGGGAATGGGGGGCCGACCAGAGCCGGAGGGACGGAGGGTACGAGGGGGTACGTGGGGGGATAGTAGGTCGAAGAGGGAGGAGGGAGCGAGGCCGGGAATGGCCGTGTAGGTGAGGATGAGGAGCTTGAATTCAACATACACACAGCCCCCACCTCCACACCCACAGCCCCCACCTCCACACACACAGCTACATACACACAGCCCCACCTCCACACAGCCAACATACACACAGCCCCCACCTCCACACAGCCCCCACCTCCACACACACAGCTAACATACACACAGCCCCCACCTTCACACACACAGCCCCCACCCACACACACAGCTAACATACACACAGCCTCCACCTCCACACAGACAGTAACATACACACAGCCCCCACCGCCACACACAGCCAACATACACACAGCCCCCACCTCCACACGCACAACCAACATACACACAGCCCCCACCTTACACACACAGCGGAGGGGCGCAGACTGTGTGAGTTTGTGTAGTGTCGGACTGTGTGTGTATGTTGTGTATGCAGTGTGTGTATGTACAGTGTGCGTATGACGTGTGTGTAAAAGTAACTGAGGTGACATACATAGTTTACTACTCGGATGAAATCCATTTCAGTGTAAACCTGCCCTGCTATACATATATATGTTGGATGTATTATAAGTGTTTTAATATCTGTTAACAGAATATATATATATAGAGGGAAAGATTTTGTTATAGCAAAGTTTTTTTATTTTCAGGGATTATTACCTCCAGGAAGATTCCAAGCTGAACCTGGGTTTCAGTCCATTGGCAAACTGGCTCCCTGAAAGGCTTTGCGATTTTAAGGTAAAATGGGGACAGGATTTCAGCATTCCTCTCCACATTAAAACCTTTGGTCGGGGCTTAAATACCGTAGCTGCCGGT